TCTAGTCCGGTCTAATCTGGTCTGGTCTGGTCTAGTCCGGTAAATGTCTTGTCTCTGTGTATTTTATAATTGGACAAATCTTGTCGGTCTGATCTGGTCCGATCTGGGATTAAAAACAATCCAAGTAAAAATATGCTACTCTAAATTTATTTGGTAAATAAATTTATGCATTTAATTATTTTAATATTTTTAAAGAGGTATACATTTTCTAATTCATTGCTGGGAAAGTGCATTTGCATCTTCTCTCTTTTTTAATTATAATTTTATATTATACATAGTATTACTATTAAGTATTGTTTGATGTAGTTTATTTTTTGTTTTTGTTTTTCGTTTACTATGTTTTCAATCATCATTTTTTTGGTAAAAATTGAAAAATAAAAACGAACAAAAATAAACTGAATTGAACAAATCCTGATTTGAAATTTTGAAAGATACGACTGAGTTAAACTGAACTGAATTTTTATTTTGCTTCGACATTTAGTTTCAAAACAAAATTGAACCGTTTGAACCCACATACAATGACCAAAGTCCAAATCTGGTGTTATTCTGCAATCAAATTTATGCGCACGTAAGTCACAATTTTTTCTGAAAAATATGGGATGTATGCAAAATTTTAAGCCCAACGAATACGTTTTAAGGACATTGTACGTTGCACAAGCTCTCACTCTTCTGTTCCATATTATTTCTGTTTTTTTTTACTATTTTAATTAATTAGTTTCTTCATTTTTCCGAATTCACCCAACGGATTTTTGCAGACTTTTAAAAATCTACATTGAATAGTCAATGCATCTAAACTTTTAAAATCAGCGGGCTTAAAATTTTGCACTAATTCCTGATACAATATTGCGTACATCCCATAATTTTCATTTGCAATCAGACAGACTCATAACCGGATTACCCGCTAAGCTGGTTAGGACTTAGGACTATCCCCATTGAAGCGCTAACGACAGGATCGGCTTTGGGCCCTAGGAAGATGTGTAGGGCACCATTTTGAGAGGGGGCACCGTTTTTTTAAATTAGTATTACTTTGTACTTGGTATTATGTTTGCTACACTTCCCTTTTTGTCAAACCCATGAAATGGAAATGTAGTACTCCCTCCGTGTTTTTTTGTTTGCTACACTTTTCTTTTCGGGATGTGTTTAAAAGTTTGTTACACTTCCATTTTTGGTAAGTTTATCTTTTATAAAATACCCAACTACCCTTATTTTTTCTACTTTTTATCTTCTCTTTCGTACTTTTACACACTTTTACCTACTTTTTCTACACTATTCATTACCCCTACTACCTTACTCCTTAAATAATGTGTCAAACCTAATGTAGTGAACAAAAAATACGGAGGGAGTATTAGAAAATTTAAAAAAGACAAAAGGTACATTAACATAAAAAGGGTCCACTAACCCATCGCCCAATTAACTGCTATTTAGCCACTAACCCTTTCCAATTCCTTAATTAAAAGGCAAATTAAATAATACTCCAAATAATTATTTAATTTGGTGATGAATAGAATGCAAGCCCCTCTGGGAGTCATTCAATAATAATTTAACATATTAACAATAAAACCAAGTCTCTCTCTAGGGCTCAATGCCGCTAGGTTTTTTCTCCGCTATCGTATTTTCCGAGGAGCGGCCTTCTTCCGTAGCAGACGGGTGGTTTCGAGGAGCGGGTTTCGAGCGTCGCCGACAGCGTCTTTCTTCCGTAGCGGCGGACAGGTACTTCTGGCAGACTGGCGATTTCGTTTTCGGTGTTTCCTTTGCCGGAAGTCTTTGTCATAGGGCCATGCTTTTGATGGAGGACGTGGTCAATAAGTACAAACAAATGACAATTGGGGAGGATAAGGAAGAACTAGTAGTGCCTTATGCGACTAGCAAGAAGAGGAACATACATAAGCCAGGGAACGACGGCTAGCAAGAATGGTGTCAGGATCAGGAATTCGGGCCCGTAGAGTGGTTGTGGACGCCAGACACCACATGTTGGGGCGTCTGTCTTCCATCCTGGCGAATGAGCTACTCAATGGTGTGCGAGTGGTGGTCCGATGCGAAGAAATCTGCCTCTCCGGTGGTCTTGTCCGTGAGAAGATGAAGTACCACCGCTTCCTTCGCAAGAGAATGAATACCAAGCCATCCCACGACCCAATCCACTTCCGCGCACCTTCGAAGATTCTATGGCGCACAATCAGAGGAATGATTCCACACAAAACGAAGAGAGGAGCAGCAACACTAGGACGGTTGAAGGCGTACGAGGGTGTTCCCACATCTTATGATAGGGTGAAGCGAATGGTTATACCTGATGCCCTTAAGGTTTTGAGGCTCCAGGCTAGGCACAAGTACTTCTTGCTGGGTAAGCTGTCATTTGAGCTTGGCTGGAACCACTATGACACCATCATGGTTCTGGAGGATAAGAGAAAGCAGAGGTCACAGGTGGCATATGAGAGGAAGAAGCAATTGACAAAGCTTAGGATTAAAGCTGAGAAGGTTGCTGAAGAAAAACTTGGTTCCCAACTTGACATCCTTTCAACTGTTAAGTACTGATCTTTTTAGTTTTATTAAGGTTTTTAAACTTTTGTACACCAGACAATTGGATTCAGTTATGCCAATGGTTTTCCGATGTTGTAAAAAAAAGGAAGAACTAGTATTCGATGAGGAGGATGAAGGCGATGAGTCGTCCGTTGAGGGGGGGGGGGGGAACTTTCCCGATCATGGGTTTGATTCTGACGGATTGTAAAATCAAATTCCAGTTCTTCAAGGAATTGATGACCTTGTTGTGGAGACCGGTCAAAGGTTTATCTATCAAAGAAATTGGTGACAAGAGGTACATCTTTACCTTTAACCATATTTTAGATATGAGACGTGTCCTTGATGAAGGACCGTGGTTGTTCGAACAAAATTTATTGCTTCTAAAAGACATCAAAGCAGAGGATATTCCTTTGCATATTAGGCTTTATGAGGCTGATTTTTGTGTGTAAGTTCACAATGCCGCGTTTGGTTTTATGAATTTGGGTTCTGCTAGACGTATTGGCAATTATATTGAAAAATTTATTAGTTTTGATGATAGAAAGTCTGATGAAAAATTGGAGCCATACATGAGGATTAGAGTGCGAATGGATGTTAGGAGACCTCTGAAAAAAGGCACTACGCTAAAAAAAGGAAGGATTTAGCCAATGGGTGGACTTTAAGTACGAAAAACTTCCTAACTTCTGTTTTGTTTATGGTATTATTGGGCATTCTGATAAGTTTTGCCTGGTTGTGTATGAGTGGGAGAACATCACTTTTGATAAAAATTATGGAGTAGGGTGAAGACCAGTCCAACAGGGGGTAACAAGTGGTTGATTGAAGGGTCTTATAGTACTGTGATGGGGGTGTCAGATAGGCAGGATACAGACATGCAAGATTGGAAGGAGACTACAGACACTAGCTCTATCAAGGAAGGGAACTCAGTAAGACCATAGGAGGAGTTGGGAGAGCAGAAGGACCTGGGAGGAAAAGGGACATGAAGATCCAACAGGAGAAGGCATGACACTAGATAGGCAAACAACGGAGAGGAGGCGGAACTCTTCCTATAGGTCTGCCGTTTTGCTTTAGGATGTTGAGGGGATCGAGAGGCGGATCTGTGAAGATGTTCGTGAAGATGGAGAGGAATTTTCATTATTCTGCTTATTTTATTATCATTTTAGTTAATCAGACTCTTTTTCATTTTGTTGCTGTTATTTTTTATTGTAAAACTCTTGCATTAAGATCAGATGAGGTTTGGTCTCTTCAATCGTCTTTGGCTTTGCCCATTAATGGATCAGCGAGTTATATTACTTGTTTGAAGGTGATTAACTTTAAGTCTGGTTCGAGGGTTGACGATTGTCTGTGGTTTCTTACTTATTTTACTCCCTTTCTGAATGCTAATGCTTTGATTTCAATATAAGTCCCCCTCTTAAAAAACAATAAAATCAAAGTCTTTTGACTTTCTATACTTCACAGAAATAAAAATCGTCGACAATCCTTCCCGAATTATCAAGTCAGTGAAGACGCCAACGATAATTCATTAATAACTCCAATAAGCAGGGATAATTTTCATCTTGTTTCTTCCAAGTGTAACCAGAATTAGGATTCACAAGATTCCAGTTAAGACCCCAACCATTGTTGAGGTGAGTTATTTAATTTTTATAATTTTATCGTTGTAATTGATTGTCATATGCCGAATTACCGATTTTGATTTTTTTTTGTAAATTTGTGTTATGAATATATAATTAAAGTTATTGTTATTGGAGTTATTATGAAATTTGATATTTATATGTTATATTTACTAATGTATAATAATAATAATATAAATAAAAATGGCCCTAAATAGGACCAAAAACATTTGTATATAGTGCTACGTTATTATTTTGTAGTTTTGCTATGTGGGTTTTAAGAGAAAATTTAAGAAAAATGAAGTCGTACAATATTTTGCGGGTGCTATAAATAATAATGTAAAACTCCTTCGGTATAGAATAGGAATTTAGAGACAAATGATAAACATGGATATAAAAATATTGATGTTGAACATGAAAATAAGAATCACGGTCTAAGCGGCATGAATAAAGATTCAAATGTAGACGGTGAGAATGTGAATGTCAATGGTGAGAAGGATATTGTACACTTATAGTTTTATCTATTTTATACGTCATATTAGAATATACATTTTTAAACACTTTTTGTAAGTTAACTATTATGTTTTACAATCTGCTATGAGTATATTCATAAAATACTTCCTATTTTATTTTATTATTGATTTAAAATATTTTATTAAAATATTACAATCTATTATGCACCCGCAAAAGATTGTACAACTTCATTTTTTCTTAAATTTTCACTTAAAACCCGCATAACAAAACTACAAAATAACAACGTAGCACTATATACAAATGTTTTTGGTCCTATTTAACCCATTTCTATTTATATTATTATTATACATTTAGTAATAAAATTTTGGTCTAGAGCACCAAAATTCCCAAAGACGCCCTGGCTAACGACATATGAACTGGAGCAAATATCCCCACCGGCCACACAGATCCCTTTCGTTCTCTGCAAAGTGCCGACTCCCACCATCTTTCTAAATTCTAACCTTTTTATCTCTATTCTTCTCCATCATTTTTGGAGTGGCCTTCAATTCCCATAAAAGGGCCCCTCTTTTTACGGGTTCTTTTTGTGGTTGAATCATCTTTCACGAGGTAAGCAGAGAGAGTCAATCGTCTAATGTGATCAAATTTCTCATTTCTGTTTTATCTTTTCGGAAGGCAGAGTTCTGGAAATTAATTTCGATGTTCATCAACTATGTATTGAGATGTGGTCTAGATTTACACTTTTCTGGATTTAGTTTGTTGACTTACTTGAAGTTGTTGAATCTGATTGGGGTTTTGAGATTGTTGGGTAGGAGGCACTAAAAGCTTCTTAAACCTGATCATTGAAACTTCTATGATCTTTTGATGTTGGGTAAGGATAGAAGTGGAACGGAGTAAGGTTTTTGTGTATTTGGGGATGCCAATGGCGGCTGATACTGATCGTTCAAACCCATTCACCAGATTAGAAGGTAGTTATAATAAGGCTAGTGTTGTGTCCCCTGCAAATGTTGAATCTCAAGAGGATTCGGATGACTGGAAGCAACTAAGTGGTAAACCTCCCCTCCATTTTCGGGTAGAGCGGCTTTCTATAAGCTCTGAGACACTTCAAGTCTCAGCTGATTCGGTATGTGAATCACTTCCTTATCATAACGTTTTCCCTTCCAGTTGTGTCTATTTTCCTTCCATTGATGGCATTTGTGGCTATAACTTGTGGAACCCTTTAGTTCACATTCTACAACATTTTCTTGTATTCACGACTCACGAGGCTTTAGGATTCCTTTGTTTTACTATTTCAAACATTTTGTTTTCCATTTTGATCAATTGATGCCAAGTTTCTTTGTGTAATTTGAAAAAAGAGTGATTTACTAATCTTATAATACACAATTACACACGCATATATGGAAAATGGTGCTGTGCAGAATAGGCACCTTACTGAATGCGTTATTTGATTGAAGTGTCCTCAAAAAGCAACATGTACAAGCAACTAAATCTTCTTCCTCACCGTGCCATTTAAGCACCGAAGTCATCCCTATATAACATGTGATTGGTTCTCTGTTAGTCGTAACAGTTCGACTTTTGCATTAATCACATGCTGTACTTAAGCCATAAAATGTTCAAAAACAAGTTTTGTTTGGTGAAATATTGTTAAATTTGTCTCATTGTTTATTTTTAAACATGAATCTCTCATAGTTTTTATTAATAAAATATGAAATATATCAATAATCAAAGATGCACATTGGCATACTTTAAAATTAAAACTGTTGCAATTAAAAAAATAGATGCAATATATTTATATATCTTTTCTTTTCTTATATAATAAGTGTCAAAGATAGTTAGTAGTCCTTTTTCCGTCATCTATCATCTTATTAGAAAATCATTTGACGCTTAATTTAGTGCACCTTTAGGTTAAAGAATCTGTTTTCCGTCGAATTAAGCAGCACATATTTTTTTTTGCATTAGTCCTTATAAAAATGGAAGTCAATCCTAATATCTCAGCGTTGAAATAAAATATTCAAAACATGACTGCCATTTACAGAACAAATTATGAAAGTTTTAATTAAATTATTAACACGCTAAGTTGATGCACGTGTCAATTCCAATTGCCTCTCGTAGTCTCGTGATAGAAGAATTAAAAATATACGGATACAGAGTAATAAACAAGAAGATTAGAACCAACTCTCATTTATTAATCTATTTCAGATTAGTCATGCCAATAATTTTTTTATACAGTTTAAAAAGTATATAAAAGTAACGCAAAATATTTCTCAAGTGTTATATAAGTTCTAGATAGAGATAAAAGGTGAGTTTGTACAATAGTTGCCCTTGGAATATATTTGAGATCTACCCGTACAGACTAATAATTAACTATGTTTGATAAAAAAAAAGTGTTTCATATTTTGCTTCATTTTTGTTTGAATTGAAGTTAGATTGAGAGCCCGTTTGGTAATACTTAAATTGGCTGTATTGGCTGATTTTGTTGAAATTTATGAAGTTCTGGCTGAAGTGGCTAGATTGGCTGATTGTTTGATTCTGCTGATTTATGAAAAATTATATTTAAAATATACTCCCTCCGTCCCATTGGACTTTGCCAACTTTCCTTTTTTTGTTGTCCCAAAAAACTTTGCCACTTTCCTATTAAAGCAACTAATTTGTGGTTCTAAACATTTCTCTCTCCTCTGCACAAATCTCAACCACAAAGTTTTTACTATTCTTATTTCTCACCTACTCTGCACTTGGCAAATTCCACCGGGACGGAGGTAGTATTTTATTAATAAAATAAAGAAAAAATTATATGAAAAATAACTAAAATGATCCTCTGCAGTAACTTCAGCCAATACAACCAGAATAGTAACTCCAACCTTACCTTGTCTTATTATTACACATTTCAACGTGCGAAATCAAAAGTTACGTGTTTGGTGATAAATTTGACTGATAAGCCAGATAAACCAGTAAAGACTGAAAAGAAAACCAATCTCAAAAGTTATATCGTTACCATAAAGTGAGAGTTGTCTACTTAGAATTTTTGCCACTTTTGGTTCTCCATCTATAGTATCAATGACACTTATAGTACATGACTTTCTTCTTTTCCACTTTTAGTCATTTGAATGAAAGCATGTAAACTCCTTAATCTTCTCTTTCTTGTATTCATTCTTTACAAGACATCCAAAGAAAACCATTGGCGTAATTATAAGTTAAATGATATACATACTTTTTATTTAGAAGTAATGGTACAAGGTTTTTTTTCACTTTTTTTTCATCAGTGACAGATTCACGAGTCTATATTGGTATGGTGGATCTATATTAATGGTTTGATATAACAATGTTACATGTTTAACTCATTTTCCATTAATGAGAAAATTTGAAAAAAAACTCTTTAGTTTAAGTGTTTATTCTGGAAAACCTTTTCATCATTTGCAATGGAGCCAAATACTCACTATTTTTTTGGCTTGGGAATATGATGGAATAAAGCAAAATGGCTTACTAAGCTGTTTGCGCTTCTTTGTTATGAAGCAGCAGTGAGTCCATGCAATTTTCGATGCGATTTTCACTTTGGGTCATCTGGAAACAGTCTCTCTGTGCTTTAGTATAGGGGTAAGACTGCGTACATCTGACCTCCCCTTACCCCACCAAAGGTGTGGGAGCCTTTGCGGCATTGGGGTAATGATGAAGAAGATGAAGAAGTTTATTCTGGAAAACAATGCATGCTTTTATTGGTTCTTAACCTAAGATATTTGAACTTTTAAGTGATAAGTCTGATAACAATTTAAGTGATTGTATCAACCCTCTCATTTTGAAATTGTCAATGGTGTTTAGTTTCTTTTATTGTTCTTTTGAGAAAAGTAGTGCAATTAGAAATTGACTTGTTAATCATTCATATCGGGCCTTATTCGCCCGCAGTGCGTACACCGCTAGTGATTAACTACGTAAATCCAAAAAATGATTTAAAAATACAAGTTCAGGTGATGAGTTATCATAGTGGTACTGTGCCAACCTATTAAATTCAAACTAGGTCCAACATGTCTCACTTTTTTGGGACTGAGGTAGTATATTATATGGTCCTACAGGGTCCATTTTTCCTTGTAGTATTTTGTGTCTTAATTGAGAGGATTTAGGTTAATAATATGAGATGATAACTGTTGTTTGCTCTGTAAACTTGAAAGAAACTCACCAAATTGGTATTATTGAGGAAATCTTCCAAAAATATCAAAGAGTTCATTTTTCGTATTATTTTTCATTGGTTATTCTAATATGTGGCCATGGGCGCATGATAAAGAATAATCAATGCCCTTCATTTTGAAGCTTCAAGAAAACATTTGATAATTCCAAGAAATAAATAACGCGATTATAAATATTGAGATGATTATCACAAAAACACTGTACATTTTTTTTAATATTGTCAAGGATAAATTAAGAAAACTATAAGCATCGATTGCTCATTTAGTTGTTTCTTATCACGTGATCCTCAAGCACACTTGCAGAAAATCTTTTGTTTCCTATCTCCTGCCATATTTTTTTCTAGGATTTCGAGGTTGATATCAAGGAAATAGAATGCACCTCAGAAGGAAAATCGGGATATCTACCTGTATTTCGATCGGGAAGTTGTGCTGAGATAGGACCGAAGCAGTACATGGAGGATGAACACATCCGGATAGATAATTTATTGGAGTATCTGGGAGAATCTTCTAGTGTCACTTCTCTTGGAGCGTTTTATGGAGTACGTATCGTGTGTGTTTGTGTATTTACATATGCTTCTCACTAGCAATGCTACTTTAATTATTAATTTTAATATGTTTTGATATATTTTAGATTTTTTTAAATTGAAAGATCAACCAAATATGCAATGGTATCACTTTACAATTCATTCTTAGAAACATTCTATTTATCGAGATGACTAGGCTCTCCAAAGTCTTCCTCTTGAATCCCTCCAAGAGCTACATACAAACAGACCCTTAGAGGGATACAATGTCGTAAAAGCTTTAGAAGAGCTTTATTTACATTGTGAAATATTTTAGCCTAATTTAGTGGTATAAAAAATCCTCCCTTGTTCACATACCTTTTGATAGGTTACAAGCAGTTATGTATGTATGCATGCTTGTGTGTGTGTGTGTGTCTTGCAGAAGTTAAATGATGAATTTGCTTATATTTGGAAGGTTTTTGATGGGCATGGAGGAACAGATGCAGCATTGTTTGTTAGGAATAATATTCTCAAGTTTATATTGGAGGACTCTTTTTTCCCAATTTGTTTGGAAAAGGCAATCAAGAATGCTTTTCTGAAAGCTGATTATGCCTTTGTTGATGATAGCTCTGTCGATACATCTTCTGGCACAACTGCACTCACTGCTCTCTTATGTGAACGGTTAGTGCATTTTTGCCTCTTGTTTTTCTTTCTAATCGTAATTCTTGAAATCTGATACTACCTCCGTAACTTAAATATGTCCCCATTACAAAAGTAGGTAGATTAAGAATAGTGAAAGGGGATATGAATTATTGAGGGTATGATGAGAAGATAATGAAATAATGTGTTGGATTGAAGGATAAACCAAAAAAAGTAGTTGTAATAGTGCTTTATTTTTAAAATTATTGAGGGTATAATGGGAAGATATGAATGTTACGGCTAAAAAAGGAAAGTGAGAAGATATGAGTGTTACGGAGGGAGTATAAGATTTATAGAGCGCAACATACATTATACTATGCTTGATTAAATTTTAAATGTATGAATGATGAAAATAAAATGTTTCATTATTGCTTGGCATATGAGTTTCATTATTTTTCATCATTGTAAAGACATGATATAACACATCATATGTAGTATACTAGTATAAAAATATTAGTCCTTGTGTCTCAATTTGCTAGATCTACTTTCCTTCTTTGCTCGTCCCAAAATAATGTTACTTTCTTAATTTAAACTCCACTGTTTTTTCTTTGTTTTCCTGAGTTATCCTTTTTATCTATCCTTTTACCTTGGCTAAAGGGTCAAACAGGTACATGAACTAACTTAAAGTGTTCAATTAACCCCTTATAAAGGAGTTTCTTCCCGGACGTCGCCAATTGGGGCGGTTCCCGGTGGAATTTTTTGATGAATTTTTTTGAGCATCTTCTTCATTAAGTCTAGTTTACCCATACCAAATTTCAGCTAAAAATTCAACCGGGAAGGCAGTCGAATTATTTTCCGAAATGTACTGCGCTGTTTAATTCTTCAGAAAATCATTCGACTGCCTTCCCGGTTGAATTTTTAGCTGAAATTTGGTCTGGGTACACTAGACTTAATGAAGAAGATGCTCAAAAAAATTCATCAAAAAATTCCACCGGGAACCGCCCCAATTGGCGACGTCCGGGCAGAAACTCCTATATAAGGGGTTAATTGAACACTTTAGGTTAGTTCATGTACCTATTTGACCCTTTAGCCTTTTACCTTTTTACTTGATCAGCCATATACATCTTTTTTTTTTCTTAGTCAAAAGGGGAAATTGTAAAATAACTAACATCTTTATTATTTGTTGAGTGTCAAACCCAGGGGCGGCTTGAGCAAGTTGGAGGCCCTAGACGAAAAATATTTATATTTAAAGATCATATTAATGTGATTTATATATAACATCAAAGTCATACAGGTGAGATAAATTGAATAAAAATACACCAGAAGCAAAGTATATTCAAAGCAAACAATACAAAACGAACATCAAAAGAATAAGTTTTCAATACTCTGTATAATGATATGCAAAATGCACAGTAGCTTGTACTTCATAAAACCCTATTGATGTAATTTTCTTGATTTTTTAAGTGCAAAATTACTAAGCACGACACAAAACTATTCCATGTTATTATCATAATGAAGATATACAAAATTAGTTAAATTGCCAATCTAGAGCACCCCAAGAAGCAGCTCATATAACCCTATAATTTATAAACTATTTCATATTTATGGATTTAGTACAAACCTTTATTCCAGTGTTCCTTCAGTAGCCTAGGGATTACCTCCGGAGTAAATAAAAAAGGGCTTTTCAAAATTGGCATAAGCAAAAAGCTTCACCGCTTCACTCCTTTATTTATTTTTAGATAAGCATAAGCAATTGAAAACATAAAAAAATGCTTTTTAAATGTAACCAAACATGAATTGTATCTGGGTATAAGGGAAAGCAATCAACAAGATTTTACAAACATCCAGAAGTACGCAGAGTAATGAGAGAAATAAAGAATAGAGTCACAACGAAATCGTGAAAAACAGTAGGCGGTCGGCGGACGGAAATTTTGTACTTGTTGGGTGGCATAGCTGTGTCAATGCCCCAGAGAAGTCATGATATTAGAAGCCTGGCGCAGTGGACGAAATTGCTGGAATGGTTGTTTGAGTTTGTGAGGCGATAAGGGCATAAGGCATTTCGATCTGCTGGAGCCGTTTCAATACTAGCATTCATGATATCTACTATCTTTTCTATTTTTTGAGGCCCTATTAGAATTTGAGGCCCAAGGCAGCTGCCTGGGCAACTGGCCCTATAGCCGGCTCTGGTCAAACCCAAATACCTCCATCATTTTAGGATAGAATGGAGTAATTGATTTGCTCATGTCAAAGTACTACTTGTATTTTGAAACAAATCTGACTAAACTAGACAGACCTTTGATGAACATTATTAGTCTACCCCACTCATCCCTCACAGTGCTGTGTGGCTTTTATTATTTCATCATGTTTCATTTTTTCTAATGTAATCTCATCTCCTATTCTCATTAGTAAACAATGCATCTTAAGTCCATTCTTGAATGGCATCACTAATTGTATAAACTCAAAATAGGTTGTCAGTTGGTAGTCAGGCTTCATCCTTTAATAAAACAGATCCTGAAATTACTCGTCTATTCCATAGACCATCTTCTCTTGCGAGACTTAAACTCACGCTCTAATCGTAACACATAGTATATCACTACTATATGGAAATAAATTAGAAGTTACTGCGAAAATACATGAAGTCATTTTATATAAACGGTTTCATAGGAAGGGGGTGAGGGGGTATTGAAACAATAGATGTCGAGAGGGATGATCAAACTTCTAACCAGTAACCACTAGGGCATGCTTGATTCCCAGAAAATGCTATGGAGGTGGAAAGCAAGCTAAGGGAAGTCAGTTTCTTGTGTTATGTTTTATCATGGAAAATGCAACTGGGCAAAAAATGACATATGAGTACAACATATCCAAGCCTTAGTCCCAAAAGAAGTTGGAGTCGGCTAACCTGAATAAATATATGAAATCGGAGTTAAAAAAATAAATAGATAAAAGCATAACATAAGACAAAACGGTGAGATAAATAAAAGATAAAGACATGATAAAGATAAAATAAAATGAAAAAATTAAAGAAGATAAAGAAAGAGGAAAAAAATAACCACAAGTAGATAAAGAAAGAGAAAAAATAACCATACACATGTATATTCTCCCTTCATTTTGCTCTCTCCAAAGTCATACTCATATTCAATCTAACCACCATATTATTCTTGACCCTTTAATTCATGTTTGTTTGAGTCTTCCTCTTCCCTTCCCCCAGAAATATGAGTAATGTCTTGAAAGTTTACGGTTTCTTCAGATTGGAATTTATACAATTCAAGACCCAGAAGATACGTTGAAAGACAGAATGTATCGGTCTAGAACTCAAATGATTGAAAAATATAAATCAAGGAGCTAAAATATCACATGTTTTGATTTATTTATTTGCTAATTTGTTTTTATTTTTTCACAATAGTTTTGTAGTTCAATAAATATTTATATAAAAAAGTAAAATTCGTAGTAATTTATGTCTTAGATTGATAGTTTTCAACCAATCAACCAGTCGGGCGGGTCATATATCGACAATCATCACCTTTCAGGTTCTTGGTTAATAGTTAATTTATCTTTTAGAATTTCATAGACTTTATGTAATACTCCCTCTGTCCCATAATTTACTCCTGTATTGACTTTGCATGGAGGTTAAGAAAGTAGGAATTGTGTGGCCTAAAGTTGGCAGATGAGAGAGAAATGTTATGGACTACATATTCTTTGTCAAAAAAGGAAAAACGAGTTTATATTGGGACGAGAAAAAAAGGAAAGAATGGAGTTTATTTTAGGAGGGAGGGAGTAGTAAATAGATACAATAAACTAGTATGAACAAAAATTTATTTTGCAACATTATCTTTCCGGCCATGATCATTTTCCATATATTTTTTTCCATCCCAAATCTAACATCATCTTGATTCCTAAACGGACCCTTTGAATTGGTGCGGTGCAGGAGATTGGTGATTGCAAATGCGGGGGATTGCCGGGCAGTTCTGGGTAAATGGGGAAGAGCTTATGAGCTGTCGAAGGACCACAAACCGGACAGTGTGCAAGAAAGACGGAGGATAGAAAAACTGGGAGGTGCTATATATAATGGCTACTTGAACGGCAGACTGTCGGTAGCGCGTGCCTTGGGTGACTGGCACATGAAGGGTCCGAAGGGGTTGGCGTGTCCGCTGAGTGGTGAGCCGGAGGTGCAAGAGATCATGTTAAGTGAGGAAGACGAGTTCCTAATCATGGGCTGTGATGGTCTGTGGGATGTCATGAGCAGTCAGTGCGCGGTCACAATGGCAAGGAAGGAACTCATGGCCCACAACGATCCTGAGAGGTGCTCCAGAGGGCTCGTGAGGGAAGCCCTTAAGCGCAACACGTGCGACAATTTGACAGTCATTGTGGTTTGTTTCTCACCTGATCCTCCGCCCCATTTTGAAACATTGGTCAGGCTGAGTCCGTTGACTTACTGAAGTCTAAAACGCGGCTGTTATTAAAGGTGGCGCGGCTGCTGTCATGATGTGAAATGACTATTAGTTAGTTATTGGACTGACTCGCTTCTCCCTTCTGTCTGTAGTTGGATGGACTTCTCTTGTATGTATAAATGTAGAATGGATTTTTTCTTTCTTTTATGTATAGAAGAAGGCTCTTGATCATATGTAGTTTATAGCGTCAGCCTTTGAAGATCCCTAGTTTCTCCATCCTCTAAGCCTCTTAGACCATCTCTAGGGGTGTATGAATTAGGAGAGTCCCGTTCCTATCAGGAGCTCCTGAAGAGAAGCCCTGTGCGGACAAGCCCATTAGAGGGTCTTCCTGATAGAATTATTTGATGAAATGTTTTGAGCATGTTCCTCATCAAGTCTAGTTTGTTCATACCAAATTTCAGCTCAAAATTCGATCGGGAAGATAGTCAAATAAATTCTGGAAACATACTGCACATTATATGTGCGCAGAATGCGCCATATTTTTTCAGGATTTATTTGACTGCCTTCCCGATCGAATTTTGAGCTGAAATTTGGTATGGATAAACTAGACTCTGATGGGCTTGTCCGCACAGGGCTTCTCTTCAGGAGCTCCTGATGTGAACTGCCCTCTGAATTAGGAAGTCAAAAATGTTCTAAATGGAAACTTCAATGCATATGTTGGAGGATTTAGAAGGTGTTCCGTTCGCCTGATTTGGATGCTTTTCATTTGAATCTATTAAGATTAGGTGTGATTTGATATTAATTTTTCTGATCTTGTATGATCTGATTTTTTCTGATCTCATATTAATCTTTCTGATCTGATATAAAATTTTCTGATTTGAATCTTTTTTATCTAATCTGTATAGTTTTTATGTGATTGAGTGTTAATTACTTTGTATTAATATTAAATTATATGATTTAATTATGATTACAGTTATAATTATTATATAACTATAATTCTAATTATACTTATAATTAGTATAATTACAATTATAGATGTAAGTGTAATTATGATTATAATTATAACTATAATTATAATATCGCTATTGTTATTCGTATTTGAATATTTATGATTATTGTTATTATAAGCGTTATCAATATCATTATATGTAGTAAGCTTAAATATGTTTTTAGTCCCTGCAAATATGACACATTTTGTTTTAGGTCTCTGCATAATATTTATTTGATTTTTCATCCCTATAATATGTTCTATTTTGTTTTTAGTCCTTCTCTAATTCCAAAACCACTCTACTTAGGAAACAAATATTGTCGGTTGCATATATCTACTAGAAATATTTAAATTTATCCTTTTATAATTTTTTTGAGGCTAATATGAGAGATAAAATAAAGTAAAACTAAGTAATTACATTTTTAAAATATATAATAAAAGCCTTTAAAAAAATAAAATTAAATACTTTTTTAATAACACGACAAAGAATTAGAGGAAATCTATTAGTCGGGATTAGTTTCAGATCAAACGGATGTTGGACTAAAAAAAACTAACATAAATTGCAGGGACTAAACACAAAAAAATATTTTTGCAGGGATGTAAAACAAAAAGTACTACATTTGCAGGTACTAAAAACATATTTAAACCTATGTAGTATTACGTAGGGGTGGGGAAAAATACCGAAACTTTGGTATACCGGACTTATCATATCGAAAAATACCGAATTTACCGAAATGTTAGGTATATTGACACTTTTGGTACGGTATGATACCGTACCGAATTACTTCGGTATGGTATCGGTATATATTTTTGGAAATAAACGGTATACCGGTATACCGTCATACCGTAATTCCAAGCCAATATTTTCCATAAAATTATAAAAATAACTAGAAACACAACACTAATTCAAGGATACATCACTTTAATTTATATCCATGTTTCTTGAATTATTTATACTTTTTATTGGAGATCAGTGTTATTTTAAATATATTTATGTTGTATATATTATTTTAGCAGAATGTGTTGTTATCTTCATATATCATGTGTTGAAATATCTATACATATTTATAATATTTTTTGTTCAAAGTTGAATAGAACACAAATAGGTTATCTCATTGGTATTTTATAATTAATTTCATTAATGATTTTAGTATATCACTATTAACACTGATTTTCTTTATTTCATTTGACATATAATAATTTGTTATATTAAATCATGATAATTTACCGATACCGTACCTTACCATACCGAAATATCGGTATACCGAAACAAGGTATACCGAAATTTTGGTATGGTAACAGTATGTATTTTTGCATACCGAAAGTTTACGGTATGGTAAAGCCGTAAAGGTATGTGATAAAATATTCGGTATACTGTACCGAACCACCCCTAGTATTACGGGCTTAATGCACCAAAAACCCTTGTGATATATAAATTTGGCACACTAGTTCTCTGCCTCCCTGTGATTTAAAAAATGCGTCAAACCCCATGTGTTATGTTTATTCATGCGCAGAACCCCCTTCAAGAATAAATTTACAATTTGGAAATCACTTATCTTCATATTATGAATAAATATGGAAGTAAATTTGTCAAGATCGCTAAATTATACAAAAATACTAATTATTTTCGATTTAATTGGCAATTAAATTTGTTCTTGGAGGGGGTTTAGCGCATGATTAATTATAACACATGGGGGTTTGACACATTTTTTAAATCACAAGAGGCTAATACGCCGAATTTATAAATCGGGCATGTGACATCGACGGAAGCCTAAGTGACGCAAACCATGGATATGTGTCTTACTAGTACTCCCGAGAAATGGCTAACTGGCTAAGTGTTAAACTATCACTAAATCGAGATGGATCAGGTCCCCTCGGTCTCTTCCAGTCATGTCATCGAGATATCTATAGTGGTCATTGGGCTCAAACTCGCTTGGATGGCTCGGTCTGGAGAAAACGGTCCGTCCAACGCGAAGCTGGCTAGTGTGAGATCTTGGTCTCGAATCGCCGAATACATGACTAGAGCTCTTATCTTGGACCGTCTGATCTCGGCCCTAGGGTATATGACAATATACTCCACTTCCTGAGGCGATAACTCTTTGAGGTGAGTAGTTTTGAGCTCTTCCAATCTTCATGTGACTGATTCTGCTGAATACCCTCATCCGCCCAGTTTGGAAAATACCTCAATCCTTGCCCGCGATGGAGTGATGCCTCGTTAAAAACTCCATTAGGAAAAAACCTTGTGTGAAAAAATTCCTAACCGAGAAAAAAGTATACTACCCCCGAAGCGGGTATAGAACCACGTGTAAACCCTTTTTAAACTTTGGTGAAGAACTTACTGTTTGGGTTTCCTTACCAAGAACGAGCTGAGTCGCATTGCGCTTGGTGTTGCTGATGCCAGAATATGACCTGAGATCATTGATCTAACGTTGTAAAGCTGTATTGCTAAGGCTAAGTCAATGATGCCTTTGCTCTAATGAATTTGGTGATTACCATGCCTAGGCGGGATTTTTCTCGAAATTCGTAAAGATTTCGGAGTCCCCCACTTATCAGTCTCTCACTCCTTTTGAGCTCGAATGTAAAATTAGAGGTGAACAGGAGTAGAGTTGAACATGGGTGACGAGGAGCCCCCCTGGGTTGGGGTCCCAATGTTTAGAGAATTTCTAGTGTTGGCAGAATGTTGAAGATGAAGCTTATGACGTTTGAAATCTGGATTAACGTCGGAATAACAACTATTAAATAGTTGTCCCATCATTAATGGTTACCTTTGGCATGCTTGACGAATGACTTGATTGGTATGTCACTATCAGCACACACGTGTGTCACTGACATCAGCGTGGTAATGATGGCATCCGCCTGACGTCAACAGGGCAGTCCACATACCAAAAAGCTTCCACGTGTTGGCTTGGGGCGGTTCAACCGCCCACATGGAAACCTTTGAAGGCCAAATGTGGTTGCCTTTCGTCCTTTACGCTTTCTTGCTATCGGTGTTTCAAGAGCTTTCCTGTGTTATCGTTGCCGTTGCTTTCTAAGTTTGAGGAGGACCATTTGTGTTTGTCATTTAACATTGACCTTCACTCTTTCAAATAGGTTAATCCTTGGTTGCATTTGTTTTTCATCTCTGTTGGTTCGACCGGCGGATCCCTAAAATATATGGGTTTCCGTTTTAGGATTTTTTAAATTTTGTCGAGGGGCCAAACCCTTAACCGTGAATAGTCTACGATTGGCCTTAGGTATAGGTACCTCCAGGCTCGAAATTCGCTGTGGAAGACTATCCTGGACCGGATTTGGCCATTAGTGACCCGAAAGGGCGTGTATTAGCTCAAACAGGCCGGGGTACCTATTCTTGGTGTTAATTGTGTTCAGCATGATGTTCGTAAGGAACACTAGAAGCACCAAATTTTTTATTTCGTGCCTTCAAATCTTGTGTTTGATACCTGGATTTTCATAAATTGTTAAAATTTTCTGGAAATTTGCATTTTTCTTATCTATTCCTTTTTCTTCTTCTGGTTTCTTTATTATGACCGATTAACTCACTCATTTCCCGATCATCTTTATTTGATGGTGTTGAAGTTTATTCCTTCAACCCTTGGACCCAACACGTAAGCCCAAAGATTTCGAGTGGAGTGAGTGTGTGGTTATCTAGCCCGACAACTATCAGATGAATCAGGAAACAAGAGTAATAGCAGGCAATGTAAATAGGTATTATTAACTTCGTAATAACTCCCCTAAGTACAATCTACTTGCTAAAAAGGGCACGTCGGCCGTTCGTCTTACAAGGCGATAGGAATGCTACTCGTAAGAATGCTGGAGCTAGTATGCTAAGAATAGAAAGTTGCCAACCCTTTACAATGAAATAAATGCTTCTATTTATACCCGCCAATGGGCAGGTGGCTGTACTGACGTGGCAGCCTGTGGACCGCTGGTGTCCCAACTACCAAATCTTTAGCATTAAATGCACTTCCCGCCAGAATCTAGGTTTCCCGCCGGATCAGTGGGGACGTTCGTCCACCCCGGAAGTGAGTTGGATTGCTCCAAGTGACCCTTGAGGGATATCGGCTGTTCGTCGCCTGGCCTTAATAGATACTCACCATGCGCTCCGGGTTTTCCCCGATGACCACAGGCTTGCTCCGGGGACGTTCGTCGCCATCCCCGCTGGCTCGTGGTTCTGCTCTTTGTCTCTGCACAGACGTTCGTCGGAATGAGCTGCTGGGCCTGAGTCCTCCAACACCAGACGTTCGTCCATCCTCAAGAGACATGGGCCTGTGGGCTGGCCTGGTTTCTAGCTGGACGTTCGTCTGGCAAAATGGGTTAGTGGGCCGGACCTCGGCTTGGGCCCTTA